ATCAATCGGTGCAACAAACCGAGGTTGCTGGGACCGTGTCAGGACCAACACTGCATGCCATTTGTTCAGGCCAACATGCGCTTAGCGGACCAGGCTTGGGTTGGGTCCACCACCTCCAAGAAGGGCCCTCAAAAGGCTTGGGGGCCGGGCCCCCAGGGGCTTGGGGCCGTGGGAGGCTGGCGGCTGGGGGCCTGAGGGAAACGGACACAGGGCGTAACGGTGAAAAGAAGAGGGTTTTCACACTCTCCGTTACTGAAACCAACACGCCCCCCCGGATGGGTGGTTGTCAAAATTATTGTCCCTTTTTGGGCACCCTAAGTATTCGGTGCAGCATTATAATGGGGATCCAAAAAGGCACCATAATTTTGACAGCCACCCACATGAATCCTCAGGCTGTGAATAAATTGGTCCTGAAGCACCTGCTTTGCCTTAAGTGAGCTATAGTCCAAACTCCTTTCAGGGGGGTCTATAGGATTATATACTGGGCCACTATAGGGGTTATTGAGGGGGATATCAGGAGTGCAGACGAGAGCTGAACGGCTCCTGGAACCATGAGCTCCGAGGTTTTTGTTGAGCTTGCGCCATTGCAGGGAAGACCGTAGGTTGCTACAAAAATATGTAGCCTGGGATTGCCGAATTTTGTGGTTACTATTGTTACCATTGTTTTAATGTTGTTATCAATATTATGATTTGTATTCTTATTGTTAGTATTACGAGTCCTCAGAGACTTTGCTTGACGCAAGCTAGTCTTAACGTAGTCAGCGGCAATTCAAAAACAACCATTATCGTAGGAATAATGGTAATAACAGCAACGCGCGTAGCAATAGTAGCAATAGCAATAATAGCAACCCTAAACCCTGAACCCAGTAATGGTTCCACAAGCCAGCCCATGAGCATGGCAACTTGTTCGTTCCTTATTATGCCCTAACTATTGCAGATAAAGCCTATGTAATCCCTGTAGCTCCTCCACATAACCCTAAGCCCCGTATCAATCCCTGTACAATAATACCTATAAAAAAACCTTCTATCGTATTTCTTCTCCCAAAATAGGGGGACTCCAATGTGGACGCCAAAGCTGTCATCACTGTTATTGGGACCCCTGAAATTGTATCCTCATCCCTGATCTTGGGAAACCATGAGCCCTAAATGGTAGCTTCCATTTTCTTTTCCATTATCCATATATTACCCCTCTATGCTAGATGAACCCTATATAATCCCTACATAATCCCTATATAATCCCTGTATAACCCCTATCCCGAAACCCTAAAGCCTAAAGCCTTAAAGCCTTAAACCCTTGACCCTAAACCCTTAAACCCTAAACCCTGTGGTAGCCTGGGCTTTGCTTCTGGCAATTCTAAAGGCGGCGACCTGTTCCACGACAACAAGCCATCCAGGTCCCATAGCTTGCTGTTCCTCCTGAAATTATGGGGTTTTCTAGAGGTTGTATAGGAGTTATATAGGGTTTATGTAGGAGTTATATAGGGTTTAGGTTTAAGAGGATGTATGCACCCGATAAAGGAAAATCAGATGGAGAAAAAACCTGTTCCCAGAGGATTGTATAGGGTCTTATTACCATTGTTATAGCTACTGTTATCTCCACTATTGTTATCTTTATTGTTATTCTTCCTATTCGCATCGCTGCTACTTAATGATTCATGAATTCGCGCATTCCTCTACACACTAAAACCCCAAACCCTAATTCCCTAAANNCTAAACCCTAAGCCCTAATTCTATGCAGCCTTCATCATGGCTTTTTGTCAGGGGATGCCTCTTCAGAACCATGAATCTTCTGAAGCAGTACACGATGGGCTCCGGAGAGGCGGGCTGGCAAAAACAAATCGAGGGGTTACATAGGATTGCATTGGCCATATATAGGCTGTATATATATATATGCATATATCTACATGTAGGGTTATATAGGGCTATATACGGGCTATGTATATATATATATACATAGGTTATACCAGGGCTA